CTTCATCGCCCCAGCGATGAAGGAAGCCAAGCCTCCCGCAAGCCCTGGCCAGCTGCAGAGGGCCTGGCTCTGGGCGGTGGCCACAGAGCCAGCTGGGGCAGGCGGGATGCTTGGCTTCTCTCAGGCTTGAGGGTTGGCTTCCTTTGTAGCCCCAGCTGGCTCCTTGGCTGCCACCCAGACAAAGCCATAGTGGCAGGGCCGAGGCAGAGGCAGTTACAAGCAATCAGGCCAGGAGGGGAGGGCAGTTGGTGGTGAACAGGCTGGTGGTGGGGACAGTTGGGGGTGATCAGGCTGGCGGGGGATGGCAGTTAGGGGTGATCATCCTGGCAGGGGCGCAGTTGGGGGCAATCAGGCCAGCAAAGGTGGGCAGTTGGGGGTGAGCAGGCTGGTATGCAGAGTGGTTAGGAATGATCAGGAAGGCAGGAAGGTGAGCTGTTAGGAGCCAGTGGTCCTTGATTGTGAGAAGGATGTCCTACTGCCTAAACTGGCAGTCAGGCATTGCTGAAGGGGTCCCAGATTGGAGAGGATGCAGGCCGGACTGAGGGACACCCCCCGCTCCCCCCTCCGCTGTCCCCCCATGCATGAATTTCGTGCACCTGGCCACTAGTCTTTTACATAGTAGCCATTCTAACAGGTGTGATATCTCATTGATGTTTTGATTTGCATTTTCCAGATAATTTGTGATATTTGGCACCTTTTCTTGTGGCCATTAATATGTCTTTTTAGTAAAAATGTCTATTCAGTTTCTCTGCCCATTTTTTAAAATTGGAGTGATTGGGGTTGTTATAGATTTATATGATTTCCCTATATATTTTGGATATAAACCACTTATCAGATATATGGCTGACTCCCATTCTATAGATTGCCATTTCATTTTGTTGATAGATTCCTCTGCTGAGCAAAAGATTTTTACTTTGATGTAGTCCCATTTATTTGTTTTTGCTTTTGTTTCCTTGCTTTTGGTGTCAAATCCAATCATTGCCGCAATCAAAACCCCTTTTGTTTTCTTCTAGGAAATTTATGGTTTCAGATCATATGTTGAAGTCTTAATCCATTTGGAGTTGAATCTTGTGTATGGTGTCAGATTGGAGTCCAATTTTATTCTTTTGCACATAGCTATCCAGTTTTCCCAGCACCACTTATTGAAAAGACTATCTTTTTCCCATTGTATATTCTTTATTCATTTGTTGTAAATTAATTGACCATTTATTTCTGGGGTCTCAGTTTTCTTCCACTGATTATTATGTCTGTTTTTATGCCAATACCACACTGTTTTGATTAGGATGGCTCTGTAATATAGTTTGAAACCAGATGTGCGATGCCTCCAGCTTTGTTATTCTGTCTTAAGACTGCTTTAGCTATTCAGGAACTTTTGTGTTTCTATAAACATTGTAGAATTGTCTGTTTCTATTTCTGTGGAAAATGCCATTGGAATTTTTTTTTGTTGTTAAAAGAACCTTTATTATACGTTTATAGTAGCCCCTCGTGTTCTCATGCTTTCTTGCCAGATGCCTTGGGAGCAGCAGGTGCTTTCTGGGCTGGGGCTTTCGGACCCTTTTGAGCTTTTGGAGGCGCTGCCTTCTGCCCTGCAGGTTTCTGGGCGGGAACCTTCTGGGCTGGAGACTTCTTGCCTGCAGTGGTCACCTTTTTTGCTGGAACCTTTGCAGCAGCTGCAGCGGCACCTTTAGCAGCAGGTGCTTTTTTGGGAGAAGCTTTCAGGAGAGCTGCCTTTTGAAGCTTCCTAACTTCAAGCTTTTTTATTCGGTTCCTCATTTTCTTTGCCTTCATTGCTTTGTAACGATCAAAATCTGTCATCTTGGCTTTCTTTTCTCTGGCTTCAATCTTCTTGGCCCATCTTGTGGCTGCCCATTTTGTATTGAGGTCTGCCTTCTCCCAGGCTTGTCGAACATACTTCTGGAGGGCACTGTGTGGGAACTTAAGGATGAAGTCAGTGAGCTGCATGCATTTGAAAGGCATAGCCTGTCTCCTTACTTGAGTGCAAGGTCCATCAACCAAAGCCCTGTTCTGATCGATAACATCTACGATCTCAACCAGCTTCCCGGCATGAGGCCCGAAGGAGACGTAGGCCACCCGGCCAACCTCCACGAAGCGCCTGAACACCATGTTGGCGGCGCTCGGCGAGAAGGAACGAGGCCCACCCAACCGTGCGCATGTGCCCAAAATTGGCTTTTAAATTTCCGCTTAAATAAACATCCCTGTCCTAGCAGGGACACCAATTTCCTTTGTGGGGCTAGAGCCACCAGCCTCAGAGCCCTTCCTCCCTCTGAGCACTCTTGGTCGCCTGCCTCCCAAGTCCTCCCAAACCCAGGATAATGAGTGCTTTCCCAGCTCTGCTGATTTATTGGTCCACAATTATGATTTATAAATACCCACAAAGAAGAACACCAAGCAATTTAAACTTCTGCTTTGGCCTCTTTGGCAGTGTTTTTAATTGATGTGAGCTTGGAGAGAAGAGACATGTAGGAGGGAAGAGAGTTTTCCACAGCTCCTGCTCAAAAATTATGCCTTCCTGCCCAGGCGGGGACCATCTCAGTAGCTAGGAGGACGGGGGAGGGGAGGGGGACTGGAAACTGTGTTTCGTAAACAGAGGCATAGTGTCAGCATTTGAAACTTCTCAGAATCATACTCTGGGACTGGGGAAACCATCAGCGCTCTTATTTCCTGGGGAATATGCTGAGGCCTAGAAAAAGTGAGGTGTTTGCACCAAGTCCTTCTTTAGGTTTCTCATGCTGTTCTGTTTAGGGCAATATTTAAAATTTCCCAGGGCCCAACAGCAGTTTCAACTAAGACATAGATAAAGAATTTTACTTTTTCTCTTATTGGTTTTACTTTTCCGGCTTATGTTTATTTACAGTTTAAGAAGAATCTTGGCTGGACGATTGTTTTTCCCCCCAAATTATTTTGAACCAAATTACTTTTCCTTCCCACATACCCCACGGGCAGCCATCACCTCCATGTGCCTCCTGTTGTTCCATTTACCTGCCAGGAAGAAAGACAAAGGGTGGGTTCCCATCTTTCTGGCTGGGACTCAAAGCTGTTAAGGAGGCAAAGGTCAGACTTCCTCGCAGTCCTGGGATGGGACTGCGGGCTGAGGCAGGGCTCTCATTCGCCATTCTGCAGGCTTTGTGCCCATCTGCTCTCTGGGGCTGTCTCAGATCGGCCGCATGAATCTCGGGATGGACGCCAGTACCTTCAAGTTTTATACCATGTGCGGCCTCCAAGAGGGCTTTGAGCCTTTTGCTGTCAACATGAACCGAGATGTTGCAATGTGGTTCAGCAAGCGCCTCCCAACGTTTGTCAACGTGCCGAAGGATCATCCCCAGATAGAGGTAATGTTACACATCGTGGGCGAACCTGGCAGGGCACATGGGCCAAGGCACTAAGCTCCTGCTAATGCCCCTGGCACAGGGCAGCTGCTTACCTAAGCCCATGCCCTGGCTGCTTACCAGCCTCCTCCTTGCTGGCCCGCAGAGCTGTCGTTGCAGACACCTTAATTGGGGCAGCTCAGTGGCATCTTACAGATGGCAACCGTCTTGCAGACATACCCTTTGCAGCTCAGGCTCCAAGCCTTTGGGCCACTGTGTTTTCTCCAGGCATCCCTGGACTGCCATTGTCATAGTAACACAGTATTCAGAGACCTTAAATGTCGTTTTCCTTAAAAAGGTCAGTGCCTGTTAAGATGTCCTGGACATGCTTCTCCTCTGCTCATAAACTGATTTAATTTCTCCAGAACCATTTCCAGCATTTTAAGCTGAGGAGTAGTCATTGATTATGATGCTGGCATCTTGTAGGGGGGCTGAGCGGAGCCAAAGATTATAAGGAGCCTGATTTGGGTTCTGATTCTATATCTTTTTGCCTCCGTTTTGCCTGTGCCCGCCATGGTTTTTTCATGATTTGGGCGGGGGCGGGGGAGAGTACTGGTTGAAAGTCAGACAGATCAGCTGCATGGAAGCATTAGACTGAGTGGCTTGCTTCTACCTAACTGTAAGTTCCCTTAGCTCACCTTCCGATCTAAATTCAACAAGCATCAACTCTCAACCCCCCACTTTTCCCCACAGTCTTACACAGTGGAGAGGTTTCTTTCTCAGATTCCTACCTGGCCATTGCTTTAGAAAGCTGGCTTGCAGACGGATGGGATTTAGAGACCCTCCACGAAGAAAAATCTACAAACTGAACAAAAAAAGTTTAAACACATCTGTAGACCACAGGATAAAAACTAGTCTCTAGAATGCGGGGAGAAATGCTTGGGTCATGAGGACATTATTATTATAA